TTAAAGTTGAACGTAAACGTATATTTATTCGCTTTATAAAAGTTTTATCGGAAAACGGTTTGAGGTTAGCCTTGTGTGGTGCACAGGTGCACCATAAAGAAATTTGTACATACATAAGTAAATTTTTATTTAAAAAAAAAAGTACATTTTGCTTGGCCCTCTGAGTCTCTGAGACTCTGAGAGGCTGAGCATGCCTCTGAAGTCTGGACCTCCTGGAATCCTGGATTTGGGTCTCGTGTCTCGAGTCACTGTGAGTCCGTTACTCGCGTCTCGACTGATATCACCATGATCTGAAATTCTTCCCTAGAGAACACGTCATCTGACATATTTTTTCTTCTTTTGTTTAAAAAAATAATATTAGAGGGCTTCAGCCTTCAGGCCTTCAGCGTTCAGGGCTATTTTTTAAGAGAATACATTTTAGCGCACACAGACATCACTGATCACACTTCACACTTTATGTACAGCATGTACTTCGCAGTTCACACTGTCTCACAGACACAGACTCACACTCACAGTCGTACTGTCCTACACATAACAACTAAAAATAGTGTCAGACGAGTCGCATACTTGGTGCAAGTATGAGATTTAAGCCCATATTTCAGGGGGCTTTTGTATTTGTTTTGGTTTGTTTTGTTTTATATTGGGTTAAAAAAAATACTTGTGTCAATGAGACTCACACATGACCCACGCGGTCTCACCGCCTCACCGCCTCACCTCAGAGGCTCAGACTCTCTGCCTGAGCCTCACTGACAGGCTGTGACAACCTATGTATGTAAACATCGATTGTAAAGTACTGATTCATGAGACGGCCAGGGGGGACGGGGGATCTTCGATCCGCATCCGCCCTGGACTCTGGACTGGAGTCCTGGACTTCGTCTTCTAGTAGAGAGCCGAGCTGAGGCCTGGGGCTGGGACTTGGGAGTCTGGGACTCTCTCTTTCTCTCCCTCTTGTATTCTGTCTTGCGGAGCGTCACGCTCGCTTGTTGTCCAGTGTTTTTAAATTTAGAGCATGACTGTCCTTTGTCCTATTTTATTACAAAGATGGCATGACAGATGGTGGCGCCGTGGGCCGGTGGCACTCTCCCTCCACTCTCCCTCCGCTCTCCAGTCTCCAGTCTCCAGTCTCCATTCTTCAGTCTGTATTCTCTCTCTCTCTCTGTGTGTGTGTGTGTAGCGTTCATTCTCTCTCACACACAACAAGCAAGAAAGAGTAGAGAGTCATAGTGAGGAAGAATTACAATTTGCCAGTACGAACTATTCTAAAATGGCCATGAGTGTATTGCATGATAGAGGTCACAAAATCCACGAAACCGGCATATCCACTCCTGTGATTCCTGTCTGAGTTTGTCAATGAACGACTTCTTGACAGTGTGTGACATAGCTCTATATTCAAGACAAGAGCGTAGTTGGGAGACCTAAATTAATTTATTATTTAGTAATCTAGTTATAGAAGTAATATTCTATAGTAGCTCAGTGGGAGAGAAGTGGCAGTGCACATATAGCACAGACAAATCTAAGTTGTCAGTTTATGGTACCTAAAAACAGCTTCGTCATGAAACTTTATTGATAAAAATGCGCTATTTGATTTAACAGCCATAAGAACTTGTTAAAAAAAAAGCAAGTTTCACGGAAAAGTGCTATTTATATGCTGACCAAGATTTGGGTCACTTTATGTACACTCCCAATTCAGTGCCTACAAACCCTTGCAGTGTACCCCGGGATCGTTCACAATACCAACAACCATATGAATTCCATCATCTCGGTTGGCTGTCTATTCCAAAAGCCTATTTTTTCCTCAAACACGTTGCGTTCAAACCTCCACCTTGCCATCTCTCGACAATGCCAGATCGAATATCTGAGTACATATGTACCTAGGCAGTATGTTTTGAGTTTGTTTTATTAGACTTCGTGTCCTCGTTCCGGTGATGTCTTTGACGGGACGAACCTCTTTCTTTTGTATCATCTTCCTTTTAGCGCTGAGCTTGTTAAATTGCCTACCAACCGGGGTGAGCAACTGATAGGCTGAGCGGTAACAACATTCGACAGTTGTAATAAATATATCATGTCTACATATTCTTTCTGGATCCATCCAGGTAGAGAGGGAGGTGTTCCCCTTTATAATGATATTCCAACGAATCCGTTGGGTTCGACAATATTCGCCTATAGCTCCAGGACAAATAGAGAATCTTCTGTGTAAGCTTCGGATACTTCTTCGGCCCTCCTCGTAACCGTTTTAGGCGGACAGGACAATTGTCGGTCATCCGAAGTGATATTCGTGGGCGAAGGTGTTGTACTGATGTTATGTCGCATATACTCCCCTTCCGTGAGTGTGGAGAAGCCACTCCGAGGGGAATAGCCATACGACCTTGTTAGCATATCGGACCACTGGTTGATTTCAGAGCCAACGTGGATCTCTGGCGACGCGGGACGCTGTACAGGTTCATAGCAATAAATATCAGTATATTTATATAAGTAGCAGTATAGCAGTAGATATATATAT